TGTTGTGAATTGGGCAGCTGAGTTATTTGGAGACACTGATAAGATGGGGAAAACTTTTAAATATTCAAGGTTAAAAATATTCCTTATAGAAAGAAAAGGATACCTGCAAGTAAAAAAACCAGGTTGGCTCACAAAGAGTTTAAGAGATAAAATTAAAGAAAAGCACCATAAGATTAAGAAATTTAAATTGACGAGTATGACAAGGGATTTAGAAGATTACAGAAGATCAAGAAAGTTGGTGAAACAGTAAATTAAAGATATCAAAAAGGGTGTATGAGAAAAGGTTGGCTGAAAATGTAAAAATTAATGGTAAGTATTTCTTTAAATACATTAAACGTAAACAAAATGTTATGATTGGGGTAGGACCTTTTAGGGATGATAAAGGAAGGCTAGTATCTGATGATTATGAGATGGCTGAGTTATTAAATTTTGTTTTTTCTTCAGTTTTTAATGACAAAGATTTAAGCAGTATTCCACATCTTGAACAGTTGATAAATGGAAATGAGATCAAACAAGATGACTGCATTAATTCTGAGCTGATTAAGAAAAAATTGGGAAGTTTAAAAAAACAGTAAAGCTTATGGGGCAGATAATATTTCTCCAAGGATTTTGAAGGAGGTCAAAGATTGGATATGTAAGCCACTTGCTATTATTTTTTGGTCAGTCTTTGAATAGTGGGCAGGTACCAGAGGATTGGAAGATAGCTAATGTAACTCCTTTTTTTCAAGGGAAATGATAAAAATTGTCCCAGTAATTATACACCCATTAGTCTTGCATCTGTTGTGGAAAAGGTTTTGGAAAGTCTGTTAAAAGATGCTTTGCAAAGTCATTTAACAAAGTTTAGAATTTTATTGGATAGTGGTTTCACTAAGGGAGAATCTTGCCTTACAAATCTTTTGAAAATCTTTGAAAAGGTTACTGCTTATGTAGATGAGGGTAAAGATGTAGATTCAGTGTATCAGGATTTCAGAAAGCAGATGACACATAAAAAGCTTGTAAAAAAACATCTCTATAGGTGTGGGAGATAAGTTAACAAATTGGATAGAAGGGTGGGTGGATGTAAGAAAACAGAGGGTTGTTACAAATGGAGTTCAGTTAAACTCGATTAATGTCACAAGTGGGGTACCTCAAAGCTCAGTCTTAGGGCTTTTGCTCTTTTTGATTTACATCAATGATATAGATGAAGGAATACTCAATAAATCAATTAAATTTGCAGATGATATTAAGGTCTTGGGTCTTCCTAGCTGTGAAGAAGATGTTGCTGATTTACAAAAGGATTAAGATCATTTAGTGAGTAGGGGAAATAAATGGCAGATGGATTATATTTATAATAAATGAAAGATAATGCATGTGGGTTATCATAATTTTAATTATAAGTATAATTTGGATGGGAATAACCTTAATAGTGTTATGAAGGAAAGGAATCTTGATATAGTAGTCACTCAGTTTTTAAAGCCATCCAAGCAATGTGCTGTTGCTAGTGGTAGGGCAAATAGAATTTTAGGTTGTATTTATAGAAATATTGAATACAAGTCTAAAGAGGCTATAATTTCATTGTACAGGTCACTGGTTAGGCCACATTTGGAATATTGTGTTCAGTCTTAGGTTTCTAACTGTAGAAAAGACATTGAATTGTTGGAAAAGGTTCAGAAAATGGTTACTAGAATGGTGCCTGGGATGGAGGGGTTGTCATATGAGGAGAGGCTTAAATCTCTCAAATAGTTTTTCTCTTGAAGAAAGAAGAGTTAAGGGGGATCTGATTGAGGTGTTTAAGATTCTAAAGGGCATTGATAGTGTTGATGTATCATCTTTTTTCATACTTAACAGTGAGAATAGTTGGACTAGGGGACACAAATATAAATTTTGGCAAGGTAGGAGTCATCATTAGCTAAGACAGTTTCATTTTTCTAACAGGGTGGTTGGCCTTTGGAACAGGTGTTCTTCAGATGTTGTAGAGGCAGTAAATTTAAGTGAGTTTAAGAAAAAGCTTGAAAAGTATATGAATGATAAGGGCTGGCTTTAAGATTATATTTTAAATTAATTTAATTTAGTTTAGAGGGTGGAACAGCCAAGATGGACCAATAGGTCACACATTGTCTCAAAACGTTATGTTATGTTGACTATCCAATAAAAATTCAACAATTTGTTAAATGACTTTGCAAAGCATCTTTTATCAGACTTTCTAAAACTTTTCCCACAACTGATGTGATACTAATGGGTCTATAATTACTGGGACAATTTTTATCACCTCCACTGAAAAGAGGAGTTACATTTAGCTATCTTCCAATCCTCTGGTACCTGCACACTATTCAAGGACTGACAAAAAATAGTAGTAAGTGGTTCACATATCCAATCTTTAACCTCCTTCAAAACCCTTGAGGAAATATTATCTGGCCTAGGAACCTTATCGTTTTTTAAACTTCCCAATGTTTTTTTAACCAGCTCAGAATTAATGCAGTCATCTTGTTTGATCTCACTTCCATTTATAAACTGTTCAAGATGTGGAATACTGATAAAATCTTTGTTAGTAAAAAACAAAGAAAAAGCAAAACTTAATAACCCAGCCAATTCATAATCATCAAGTATAAGCCTTCCTTTATCATCCCTCATTTTGTTCACCCTTAGTGTACTTAAAGAAATCCTTATTGTTAATTATTACATTTTTAGTCAACTTTTTCTCATACATCCATTTTGATGTCCCAATTTCCTGTTTCACCAACTTTCTTGATCTTCTGTAATCAATCAAGGGTTTTTATTTAGTGGTTAGCCCACAAGGTTATGTCTCATGTGACTAGCTAATTTACATAATGTTTCACAACAATAATATCTGCACATTACCACTAAGGGAGCTTGTGTTAGTTTCATAATACAAACATACTCAAATTGAACATGTTCTGACTAGAAGGTGAGTTGGTGCTTTAATAAAATTACAAACTTATAACTGAACTAAATGACAGAAGGAACAATAATTGAACAGTAAACAAAACCATAACAAAGTAAAAGTAGAATTTGCTATCTGACACTACTTTCTCCCCAATGAAAAAGTCCCACTAAAAGTGGTAGGTGCAAATGTAGTGATGGGGCCATAAAGCATTGCCCTTGATCTTGATGGCAATCAAGAGAAATTCCCTACAAGTGAGGATGATTCCTAAAACTCTAGGAAAGTATTTCAGCCCTCCTTAAGAAAACTCATAAGAAAACTCCACTTTTTTCCTTTTTTTTTCTCTACAACTACTTTCTCTCCAATGAAAAAGTCCCACTAAAAGTGGTAGGAGCAGATGTAGTGATGGGGCCATGAAAAAGTCCCACTAAAAGTGGTAGGGGCAGATGTAGTGATGGGGCCATAAAGCATTGCCCTTGATCTTGATGGCAATCAAGAGAAATTGCCTACAAGTGAGGATGATTCCTAAAACTCTAGGAAAGTATTTCAGCCCTCCTTAAGAAAACTCATAATTAGGCCCCTCCCTCCACTTTTTTCCTTTTTTTTCAAATATTGTTTTTCGATCATACAAAGATTTCTGAATAAAAAATGAAATGAACACAGTTGATTCACTTTACCCCTTTTCTTTATTTCTCATAAATTCTGTATCGTTTTGATGAAAAAATGAAACGAAGAAGACTTCTATTTGCATGGACCCTTTGAAGACAATCAACAATCATGAAAAAAAAGAGTGTACACTTTCTTTCAAAGAGGTCATTTAAAAAAAAAAAATGCCTCCTCCTTCCTTTTTTTAAAAACACCATATGCTAAACGTTTTTTTTACTTGGCCTTACCTAACTAATTCTACTTGGTTTACACCTACATACTGTATAGCAACTAAAATATATAAAATCTATGTTTAAAATTACAGTAACTTGAGTAATTCAGCCAGCTCTCCCCCCCCCCAAAAAAAACGAGCCAAGTAATCTCTGTAAGCATATGTAGAATTGTTACAATAAAACTTTATAAATAGAATGACATTAATAATACTGGATTTCCATTTCATAATTTCAAGCCTGTGTTCATTATTCTCATGTAAACTTCCTCAGGCTAATGTTGATGACTTGTGCGCTATTTTCAGTTTATTGACTCCACATTTCTGATATTTCAATAGATGTTATTTGTCTCACCAATCACACACGAATGATGTCGATGAGGAGAAGCAATGTAAATATTACTTTCACTTGTAAAATGTATAACAATATAGTATGCATGATTTTTACGTTAATGATATTTTTTAATTTTACAACTTATGAGTTATATAGGCTTTTTAAAGTTTACTTTAGTTTAGTTAATAAGGCTTACGTTTCTACTTCAACTTCCAAGTTCCATGCTCCACATTCTTACCTTTCACGGCCTTATCTGAAGGAATGTTCTGAGCTCTAAGTCTTTGAAAAAGAACATACATCATTTCTCCCCCTAGATTTATAAACATTATTGGTAAAGCTTTCACTGACATTTCTGAGTCTGTTCAACCGAATTGGTTACTATTTTCCAAACTGAAGGCCTATACAATCTGTTACGTAAACAAATACCCGTTGCTATGTGTAAAAAAACAACTCTAGCTTTAACCAATAACGACTTAAAACGTTCGTTCCTTGGTGACACGCAAATGCCTTTTAGATACACACTGTTCGGTGTTTTCACCCATGATGAGTTGAAATTATATGGCTGTGCATAAAAATCCCGAGAAAATCTCCGAAAATAAACCAGTGATCCTAAAATATGTCTGAAGCTACTATACGCTATAGTTTATTCTGAATTATTTTGAGTATTTCCTCTGTTTTACCGCTTCTAATATAACCCACGAAGTCAATCAACAACTGTGGAAATGGTTAATTAATAATAAAAACAAAAAACTGATGAGAATTATAGAGTTGCAAACATACGATAGCTAGTTCAATCATGTCATATTGGTTAAACGGTAAGTTTTCAGGGCAAATAACGTTAAACACTGTGTTTCGATATTCACTGTGGGCACAGCACAAATCGTTCATTGTGTAGCTTTGTGGTTAAATCGTAAATACTGCACCCAGCTATATTAGCCCTTGATTTACAATGTACTGTAAAGAAAAAAGAAAACAACATATTTCCTGTGATATTGTTACGACAGTGGTAGTCACGTGACGCTAATAACACGTCATGATATTCTAGAAGGATTGGGGAACATCACGAATAATCCAGTATGTGCTAGGCGCCCTCTATTTCTGTATATAAGTGCGCCGGATAACGTGAGAGTAATCAACCGGAATAGAATTGCAGACAGGCAGAGATAGAGATGGACAATTGAGTCAAGCGCGATAGTAAGTAAAGTGCGTGAATCGTTCGTTGTGAATTATAGAGTGTGTGTGTGTATGTTAAAGTAACTGTGGAAATTAAGTGTATTGCAAAGTTGTATTGAGAAAGAATAAACTAGTTTTATTTAAGAAAGAACTTGTATCGCTGAAGTTTCTCGGGTAGAATTTCTACTGGAAATTAACAAACGAACAGAGACGTAACAAACTGATGTCAGAAGTGGGATAAGAACATAAAAAAAAAGATGGAAACGAAAGGGAGCAAATCAAACTACAGCCTAGCAGATTTGATGGCAGCAATACAAGAACAGCAAAAGAAACAAGAAGAACGAGAAAATAATGTTATGCCTCTGGTCATTGTTTGTTAATTTCCCAGTATAAATTCTTCCTGAGGAACTTCAGAGATACAAGTCCTTTCTTAAATAAAACTAGTTTATTCTTTCTCAATTCAACTTTGCAATACACTTAATTTCCACAGTCACTTTAAACACACGCTATAATTCACAATGATTCACGCCCTTTCTTACGGTCACTACCGCGCTTGACTCAATTGTCCGTCTTTATCTCTGCCTGTCTGCAATTCAATTCCGATTGTTGCTGTCACTTCTTGGCGGTCTTATGTACAAGAATACCGCATTTCTAGTAAACAGTCGAGGCTTCACAAAGGGACATCAATTTTCTAGAAGCTCAT